GGCTGAGATTGATCTCATGACAAGGAAATTGGGCCCATGTGTACAGGAGAAAAGGTCAGCTGCCAAACAAGTGGAAAAAAAAACTTTCTAGAAGGTTGAACCGCTTGAACATGCGGATCACAGAGTTTGGACAGGTCTTCCCACCCTCTTTAAATCAATTTGGCTTTCACTCCACTGAATGACTAATTTAGACAGAATGAAGAGCATCCCATCTACCTTGTTTGCAGTCTTAAAATACTGCCTAAGAGGAGATTTAGAGATAAAAATAAGGGAGGACTCTTCTCCAAGTACAGTACAAATTAACTACACAGCCAAGTTATTCTGAGTTCAAATCCATCAGAAGTCAGTCTCAAACCTAATGGCTCTTTTTGGCTGCCTTATAGACAGKGTGGAAAGGATGCACCTGGTCTAACTTCAGCTGTCCACAGATGAGACAAGATTGCCTGATCTGTTTGCACAGGTTTCTTCTAGTCCAAAGAACTAGCATGGAGATGACACTTCAGCTCTCCTGCTATGAAGGGAGAGTTGTGACTAATGCAGATTCATCATCTAGAAASTTAAATGCCTGAATCCCACCCTATCCACCAAAACTCTCTTCTTAAGCTCAAGGCCAAGGTCTGAAGCCTACTAAGGTAACTCTGAATCTCTGCTCCACTCACTCAGTGGATTTGTAAAGACATGTATCACCCTTCCTGCAAGCTGGATCCCTTCACCATAAGCAGGTGTCTTCACAGCAAAAAACAACTCATTGCACTTGTATTTGATCTAATCCTACCCAAGTAACAGTGAGACTGCAGTGGCACCCGAAGATCCCAGCTTGGCTCCATGCCTCACTGTTCCAGGAACGCTACCAATGCCCAAAGGGATTCGATTCCCTACAGAAGGATCCAAAGTCTGCTTCAAAGCAATGTAAAAGTAGATGCCTACACATAACAAGAAATAAAAACATTCTTGAAGGATACAGTTTAGTCATATACATAGCAAATTAGTTAGCTTAACCAATACTTTTTTTTTTTTAAATAAAGCATCTGTATCTCTAAAGTCTCTCAAAGTCTGGGCACCCCATGCAGTGCCATGCCACATTTTGAAGGTTCTTCACTGTTTCCCTTCACTCTTCCTCAAGCTCCAGACCTCTACAGCAGCTAGTCCTGTCAGGTCCCTTCAGCAGTAAGAATAGATTTTGTCAATGAATGACTTCCATTTCCTTTTAAATTACATTTTTTTTGCAGTGAAAGTTCTAAGCCTCATGCCTTCAGCACTTCATCCCACCAGAGAGACATGCTAAAGAAGTCTTGTTCCCAGACCCCTAGCACAAGATGGTTACATGAAGTGAAGACTTGTTAGGTCTGAGGCACTCTCCTGGTGTGATATCCCGGTGCCATGTCACAGGCATGGCAGTGCAGAAGTGACATGTCTCTAGTGCTGTACGATGTGACACATCCAGAAGCACTAATGCATCTGACCCCATCTCTGCTGCTAACAGCATCCCCACTGTGGCCAACTTAGATTTCAGGACTGAAGGTAGCAGAGTTTTAACCAAGGGAAATGTTTAGCTATGAAAAAAAAAAAAAAAAGAAGAAGAAGATTAAAAAAAAACACCCAGCAAACCCCTCTGGCTGGCATATTTCTCCTTAACAAAAAGAATTGTCTAAGGGAATACCAGTGGTAGAAAAGTGGAGGACGTATTGAAAGTTATTGCCTTTTAGCCTCTTGAAGGGACAGCRAAGACAAATACTGAACACAGAGGGGAGACACACATGGCTTATTATTACCATACAACTATAAAGGAAGCATTCTCATCAGCTGGCAAAGTTTCCAAAGAAAAGACATCCCTAATTGAACCAAGTCTAAAAGAGGAGGAGAAGGCATAGTAATGAGGCAAGGCTAGGTGGTGTGATCCCGAGATAACAATACCCCAGGGAGTTACACCAGTATTAAGTGCAACTTCATTACGCCTATGAATCTTTGAGGCAAGAATAACTCTGTTGATACACATGATCTTTTAACCATCCATTAAAGACACATGCTGCGGAGCCTTGACATTTTAAGATCACAGGACATTAGATTAAATGAGACTTTTTATTTTGCTGTAGTAACCCATTACACTTCACAAGGCTGATATAATCTTCCAGGGAACCTGAGATGTGGTAATTGAAATGAGATACTGCACCTTTAATAATGCAGATTGATGTAGCGGTCTCACAGGTTTTTTTCATTTGGTCCCTTTATTTTAAATCTTCTGAGTGCTACCAATACAGTTCATTTTATTATTAAGATGGCATTCTCCACTGAAATAGCACATGCCTAGCTAGACTAAAATAATAGGACTGGTTTACTGTTATAGAGAGGGAGGCACGACTGACATTCATGCAAAATTTACTATGTGAGCATCACCAAACTCTGGTTTCTTACTGCAAGTGGCTTGGTTGAATCTGAAAGTCCATAAAATTCCAAAATCCCATCTTCTGCAACAAAGAGACYACATCAAATCTATCACCATTTGAAATATTCTCACAAAACACAAAGGATGTTGGAAATATAAGCAGTCTTACAGCGAGAATTGGAGCCCTGGCCCTTTTTYCTTCTCAAGTGGACCCCTCAAGTGGACTACTGCTTCAGAGCTCCTAGATAAGGAGCCAGAGGGATGAAGAACCCCCAACAAGGATCCACCCAAACTTCAAGCCTACTAGATCCCCTACTCTGCAGGGTCCAGATTGAAGCAATTCTGACAGAGGAAAAAGAAAACACCTGGCATCCAGGAGACCTGCTCTGGCGAAAAGTTAGGCATCTAAGGGGGATAGAAGAACTTCCGAGACCTTTGGACCAGATGACGGGAAGCACCTGAGTCCTTCTGAAGATGTGGGCATGCACCCCTTGATGTCTTCGCTCCCCAGCCTAAGAAGAAGGCCGCTTCCCTCTCCAGCCCCTCGAGGGGAGAAAGACACTGCAGGCCACAGGGTGGATTCCCATCCGTGCTGCACAACGCTGACGGCGCTCGAACAAGTATTTAAAGCAGACGAGAACCCAACTTGTGAGTCACACAACTTATTTATTCTTCAGAAATCAAGATGTACAGCAAGCTCAGAGCTTCTTAGATGTCTCTATCTCTGGCTTAAAATTTCCTTGTGTGGCACTAATTACATCCTAAAACAGGTTTCGAGGTGTCTCATACTTATGTTAAGCTCCTCACTAGCCTGTCTTCTCCATGCTAAAAGAGTTTCACTAACCTAAAAGTCATTTTAAATGGGCAGAGTTGGTCTGGAAGAGACATTACACTAGAAATTTGTTAATGTCTGTCAGCCCAAGAATAAGTTATTTGGAGAAAATTGCAGAACTAGATGAAACAGCTGGGCACAGCATGACCCCCATTTCCAAGTTTTGGTTTTCACCCACATAAATCGGGCTTGACTCACTGAATGATGATACCTACAACACTAGTGACATTTTGAAGAAATAACTTTTGCTTTCCAGAGCCTAAGCCAAACAGGGATTAAAAAGTGAACAAATAGGCATAAGAAGGTACATGCAACTTTCCCTGTACACGTGGACCTCCCTGGCCTGCACTGACAGCACCAGGAGTCTTCTGCTCTTCTCATCAGGCCCTAGATCGCACAAAAACAGGCGTGAGAACTGCAGAATAAACTGCCCAAGAGGGAAGTTTCCACCTGATCCACAAGTTTCTACTCTTAAACAGGAAGATTTATTYTCCCTTAATGATTACTCTGCCCCGAGACACTGCTGGCAGCTTCTTTACCTACAAAGAAGTGCTTAGCCGCTGAGCTCCTGCCTTCATTAGCAGGCAGCAGAACTGCACTGTGCGGATAGCAAAGCGCCGAGCCTGTCCCTCGATCCTGTATTATAGGGAAGGATAAATAGAAACCACAGTATTCACCTTCCCGAGACAACTGGCATTCATTTATATTCCACTTTCCCTCTTGTAGTCTGTCATTTCCCTGTCCACTCACCTTTCACAGCCACAAAAGCCCTTCCTCAGGTTCCTATTGTCCTTGTGGCCCGACACCAGGCAGCTTTACCGCGGCGGCACAGACTCACTGGGGGCTGACACAGCATTACCTTTCTCGCTGGGGCTGGAGTAAACCATTACTCTTGATATACTGAGAAACTGCAACTCAAGCGCCTGAAGTGTTCCCCAGATTTAAAGGAAAATAAATAAATAATTAAATAAAGTTCATAACAATCTGCCTCAACCCTGCTGGAAACCCCAGCTACCGAGGCTTACTAAAAGCTGCAGATTAATCGGAAAGCCCGTGGCTGAAGGGAGCTTGGTTTGCACCACCTTCGTGCGCATTCTGTACCAGCAAGCAGATGAAGAGGCTATTTAAAGTGCCTCTATTGTTACACGCCTAAATATTTAACTATTAAATTTCACCCACCACCTGCCTGTCCTCGCATTTATAACCCGAGCGCCGGGACTCGTTTTTCCGCCCCGTGAAGAGCGAGGCCGCAGTTCTGGGCCCCGGGGCTGCAGCGCTGCCGCGGGAGCCCCCGTCCCGGGGGACCCTCCCCGGGGCGGCGGGACGGGGGTCCTTGCGCCCCCCGGCTCCCTCCGCGCCCGCTCCGCTCCGCTCGCACCTGCTCCCGTTTGGAGCCGCTCGGGCAGCGCAGCCCGGCGAGGGGCAGATGCGATTAMGGGATTAAGCGCAGTGCGGGAGGCGGCGGGAGGCTGCGGGCCGGCCGAGGGAGCGCGGCAGGAACGAAAACGCCCGCAGTCTCGGAGCCCCGGCGAGAGGGGAGAAACTGCATCAGCAGCCGCGGCGTCCCCGGTGGAAGCAGGACGCGCGACACGCACATATATGCACAGACATACATATGCACAGCCACACGTATGCATAGATAAACATATGCACAGCCACACGTATGCACAAACATGCACAGCCACACACATGCACAGCCACACGTATGCACAGACCCACAGGTACACACACATATAGACACACACACGTGGGGACCCCCGCACGCGCCCCGGCGGGCGGGCTCACCTCGATCCACTTCTGAGCCTCGCCGAAGGCGAGCTCGGGCTGCGGCGGCTCCGGCGGCGGCTCGTGCAGCTCCAGCCGCGCGCCGGCCATTGGTGGCGGCTCCCCGCCGTGCCCGGGCACGGAGCGAGCCGCCCGGCCGCCCGCCGCGAGGCCGCTGCCGGCTGCGCCCCGCGCGGAGCCGGCTCTGCAGCCCCGCTGCCTGCGGCGACCCCGGGGCTGCTGCCGCTGCTGCTGCTGCTGCTGCCGCGCCGAGCTCGCTGCTGCCTCCCCGCCTGCAGAGCCGCCGGCTAAAAATAAAGCAGCCGCGAGAAGCCGCTTTGCCCGCAGCCCGTGCAAATGCCCGCGCCGCCTCCGCGCCCGCGCAGCGCGCGCCCGGCCCCCTCTCCCCGCGCCCGCCCCGTGCCCAGGCCCCCGCGGCGGGAGCTGCGGGGAGGCGCCGCGGCGGCCCCGGCTCTCACGGGGATGCCCAGCACGGCCGGGCAGCGAGGCACCCAGCGAGGCACCGGGCAGCGAGGCACCCAGGTGGCTGCGCTCACAGGCACCCCATGAGTATCGCCCTGCTCGTTATGTGAGGGAGGCAAAGCAGCTCCTGCAGAGACTCGCCGGCCTAGCCTGGGCCGCGCCACTGGTCCCAGCTCTGGCAGAAAGAGCCCGAGGTTGCCTATAGAAGTTTCTGGAAACTGTGGAGAAAGAAAAAAAAAATACACGGTGTTTTTAAAGTCAAATGCTACCAATATCCATCTGTCCATCCCTAGGTTTTTGAAGGATCGGCCAAAATACTGGCTTGTATTTGGTCATGCTTACAAAGACAGTGCTGGAAATGAGGCGCTACCAAGGGGAGGTGCGTTTTTAGGGGGATTCCTGGTCATGACGCGCCACGTTTCTGCTCTGTGACAGTGGCCAGTGTCACCTCTTAGAGACCTGGAAGAGCTAGAGGAGAGCCGAGGTTCCCGGTGTAGTGCGAAGCTCCTGCTTGGTACAGAGAGCAGCACTAACTCGGGCCTAAGCGGGACAGTTGACRCTCCTTCCTTGTACAAAGCTGCTGTCACTGAGCACTCAAGCCACATGCTGAATTCTTTGCTTCTTCAGGGGACTCAAACTGAGGAAATTTACAGAGAAGGAGCACGGATACAGGGCTGGTGTGGTCCCTTGGAGAGCCTTGTCTTGCAKTCAGGGCTATAAAAACACCATTTGATTGGCAGCAGGAATCCGGCCACTTCTTCTCTAATCCTAATCCTGAACTTGCTTCCCATTTGGTCAAGCACTAGGCAGCATCCCTGCCTCCCTGTTCCCATGGAAACACAATCCCAGCATCAGCCCAGCTTGCTGCTTGGTGTTTTTTTATTAACCACCATCTGCCTGCGGAGTTGCAGTTTTCTCTAAGCCCCTTGAATATCAGTTGTAGGTTTGTCAAGATTTTCCTTTCCCTTTTGCAGCCACCCTAGCAACTACTTACAGGCAAAATATGAAAATAAGCAGCTTTGGCACCCCAGCAATGTTTTCCTAATATCATAGAGTCATAGAATCCTTAGGGTTGGAAGGGACCCTACTACTCTGACCAACAACACCATCAGCAACGTAGCCATCCCCCGTTGCTCCAGTTAGGCAGTGGACTTTGGAACAGCGTCAAAATTCTGATCTTTTCCCTGCAGCTGTTTGCAGAACTCTCCTCTTTTTAAAACAAATGTCTCAGTTTTGCTTCTTGGTTTTCTTTTTCAATAAAACTCACTCTAGTATCTCAGCAGTGATCATCGGCTGGTAACAAACTTACATTGGCACTCATTAGATGGGGGGAAAAGCTATAGAGAGGCAACCACAGAGGTCAAGCTCCATGTATTTTATATAGATGCAGTCACCCTTCYCAAAAGAAGACTGCACTTGTGCACATGTAATTGCATACTAGATGTGGRGAAATGTGCAATATAATTGTTATAGGGAAGTTATAAGCAAATGGTTGTTGCTTGTCCAGGATCTTTGCTGCTGAATGAAGTAAGAAGAAAGAGGTTTTCATCAAGGTAGTTTTGGGTACAGTGGAGGTTCAACTTTTATCACATAGTTCAGTCTCCTGCCCAATTCAGTTTCCTCATCTTGGAAGAAAAACTGTCCTGTTCATGCTTATACCCTAAAGAAATTATGGACTGTTTAAGCCTCTTGGAAACCAGGAGCAGGGGTTAATGAGACCTGATTTGTGTCACAGCAAGCCTGATTTTTTTCACAGTAGCAATAGAGATCTCTCAGCAAGCAAAATGCATCGTGGACAATTTTTGTCTCTATAACGTGTCTCCTTCCAGGAAAGGGGCTGGATTTCCACACTGAGCTCTCTGGGGAGCTACACATAGATGGGACATTCGTGCTCTTGGTCCGTTTTCTGGTTGTGTTAGCCTGACAATAAACCTGCAGGGAATATCTGACATGGTGTGTTCACAGTAACACAGGCACCCCCTCTTCAGAGCAATTACTCTCTTACCAAAATATATGGAGCAAAGAACAAATGATGGCACATCAGAGACTCCTCTATTTCTATTTTACCTGCCATATTAGCTTGTATTTTGTGAGCTTTCATAAACTCTCCTTAAACCAAGAAGCCCAGTTGGCTTGTTTAGATGTTAAGATACCCTACTAGCCCCAGGGTTTTCTGTCTCCTTCTTAGCAATCTCTCTGTCCTGAMTGATGTTCTCTGAGCAGATTTTCCTTTTTTTACCAGGCTGTCATCCTCATATTTTGGCATGTTGCATCATCCAAGGCTAGATGTAGGAAAAAATCTGCACTGAGCCACAAGCAGGCTGCTCTGACTAAATATCTTCTCAACTGTTTGCTCAAGCACTTTGATACATTTCATCAGTTTGCTCGCCCTTTTAGTCCCTTCAGCAAACCGCTGAATGTCACACAGAGAACTTGAGTCCGTATGATACTTATTTAATAAATACAGCTTGGAATTCCCGTATTCTCTAGAGTATAGAATGGGGATGCTCACATGCAGGACAGAGCTGTGTAAAGCATTTTGGAGTAGAGCCTGCTCGAAAACGCAGCCTGCGAGCTGTGATGAGGCTGAGGATGAGCCCCAGGGAGCTGTGGCTGGGATCCTGGCTGCATCAGGAGCAGTGTCGCCAGCAGGTCAAGGGAGGGGATCCTGCCCCTCTACTCAGCTCTGGTGAGGCTGCACCTGGAGTATTGGGTGCAGTTCTGGGCTCCGCAGTATAACASGGATGTGGAGCTTCTCGAGAGGGTCCAACGTAGAGTGACAAAGATGACAAGGGTCTGGAGCATCTGTCTTATGAAGAAAGACCAAGTGAGCTGTGCCTGTTGAACCTGGAGAAGAGAGGATTGAGAGGGGATCTGATCAGCGTGTACAAATACCTGAAGGAAGAATGTAGGGAGGAAGAGGCCAAACTCTTCTCAGTGGTGGCCGGTGACAGGACGAGGGGTAATGGGTACAAACTGAAACACCAGAAGTTCCATCTCCATGTGAGGAAGARCTAYTTTCTAGTGAGGGTGACAGAGCCCTGSCACAGGCTACCCAGGGAGGTTGTGGAGTCTCCTTCTCTGGAGATCTTCCAAATCCACCTGGATGCCACCCTGTGCCCTGTGATCTCAGTGTCCCTGCTGGAGCAGGGGGTTGGACTAGATTAACTCACATCCTTGGATTTCTTCCAACCTTGACCGGTCTGTTATTCTGTGATTTTGACTGTCTGGCAGAGATGCAGGAGCCAGGCAGCCCTGCTATAAAGCCATCCTCAGCATTAGCACCTCTTAGCAGGTATTAATCCTGCTGGAGGATATTTGGAGACKCTCGCTTGGCAGATTGAAAAGGTGCATTCACAGCTTGCTGTGTGTATAGGCAGGAATGCAGAGGGAGGTGGACAAGTGAGCAGACAAGAGGAACCCTTCCAGCAGCATTTAGCAGCACAAAGGAGAGCAGTGGAAGAGATCTTTATGAAAATGTTAGCTTTTTCTTCACTGATGAAACTGCATACATGCAAAGATACTTTAGCTCTGTGTGGCRTGCAGGCTGTCTTTGAGATTGAGTTGGTGAAAATATCCACTTGGAGGCAAGAGGTAGAAAAACACTAATTTTAAAAAATGACTCAGAGGAAGACTGTTCACATTGCAGAGTTCATTGAAGAGTTTTGGGTTTTGGGGTTTTTGTTTGTTTGTTTGTTTGTTTGTTTGTTTGTTTGTTTTAACTTTCAGACTAAAATAAAGCATCACCAGAGCTTTAGTTATTCTTCTTACTCATGAAAATCTATCATTCTGAGATCATGAGAGTATGTTTTTTTTAATTTTTTTCCACCACTGAAACAAATGTTGTGACTTTGCATTTTATTTAATGAGGGCATCTGCTGTGGCACGTTTGCAGTGTTCAGCATTTGGCTGAGAGCACCTGTTTGTTTATTCCTGCCACGCTGTCTTCTATCCCAGTCACTTTCTTTCTGCTTCCACTCATATTGTCAGGCTTGGCATCAACTCTCTATGTCATCCTGAAAATTACAGGAGGAATCATCCATATTTGCTCTTTCCTGGAGAAAAGTGGTATCATCTTCTCTTGCCCTACCTGTAGAGAGAACATGAAGCTTTTTTGGAAGCTTTTCTTTGTTTTGCAACCTGAGATTGAATTTTGGAAACTAATGCATCCATTGCTTATCTGCTAGCTGAATTCATGAGCACCATTTGTCAGTTTCCTGTCTGTTTGTCAGTGCATTTAACTACATTTTTAGATTTTAAAAGCTGTTGACTGTCCAGGAACTGATCTGCTATTATGCACATTGCTCTTTATCTAGCTACGAATTTCATAAGACTGGACGCAGGCAATCTGAAATGAGAGGTCATGTGGATAAATGACCATAAAAACCAACTTGAACACTCTTTTCAAAACATGGTATGGGGCATGGTCCCCACCTCCTCTGTTCCCTGCATAACAAAAAGTGCACAMTGACCAGCATCTCTCTTTGGAGGGCTCATATGCTTTTAGGAGTGGGTTTCTCCTACCCAGCCCTCTGTTCTGCCTTTGACACCTGGTTCCCCCTCTTCTTTTGTCCTTCCCRTCCCCCACTGACAGCTGTGATGATTATGTCAAACCTGGCTCAGCTT